ATCAAGGTCAGGAGAATAAGGCGGATGAGGAATTTTCTCCCAACCAAGTTCTTCAATCTTCTGGGACGTGATTTTTGCAGTGTGGGGTCGTGCATTGCCCTGATGAAACACCACTCCTCTTCGATTCACTAAAACAGGTCTTTTTTTCTTTAAAGCCGCTTTCAAACGCTCTAATTGCTGACAATAGAATTGAGCATTGATTGTCGCATTAGTTGGCAGCAACTCAAAGTGAATAATTCCTTTGCAATCCCACCAGATAGAGAGAGAAGAACCCTCTTCGCATGAAGTTCCATTTTCGGTTGTGGTTGGGTCTTTTCTCCATTACTAAGCCACTGCCTTCGACGTGTAACATTTTTATAAAAAATCCATTTTTCATCACCAGTCACAAATCTATCCAAAAAGGGCGAGATAAGGTCACAAAAATGAAGAGAAGAGCAGATCTCAACTCGCGATTTACGGTTCACTTCAGACAATTCATGAAGCACCCATTTTCCAATTTTAGGAACCTTTCCAAGTTCTTGAAGATGATGTTGAACAGTTGTATGGTTTGAACCAAGCTTTATTGCCAATTCTTCAACTGATACTGCAGGGTTTTCTTCAAGTGATGCCACAAAGAGCATATCATCAAACTCAACTGGACGTCCTGTTCGGTCTTCATCTTCAAGGCTGAAATTTCAACTTCTGAATTTTACAAACCATCTTCTGCAAGTTTTGTCATTCAGCCATTCTTCTCCATAAGCTGAGTGAATATTTCGAGTCACTTCGGCTGCAGAGTTCCCTTTTTTAAACTCATAAAGCATTATATGCCTCAAATGCTCCTTAGATACTTCCATGTCAAAAGGGCTTTAATCAGTGAAATTTGAAATACTTTATTCTGTAAAATAAAATTTAATAAGTTTAAATATGCTCAAATATATATATATGATATATAAATATTTTTATTTCCATTAAACATTCTAAATTACTAGTAACTTTCAAAGAATTAAAATCTGGACAGAACTTATGGGATGACCTGATAGATCGAAATATACTCCACATCACTTCTCATCAGATTTGGCATCTATCAATGTCATTGTCTGCTTGTCTGAACTGTTCTCTGGGAGATATTTTACAGGCTGGTATGTGGACTTCTCCCAACACTTTCCTATCTCATTATCTTTCGTAAATTTGGTTGTTCGAAATGCATCATTCTGTGGCTGCTTGTTGGAATCCTATCACAAAGATATGTATATATTTGCCACCAAATGGGGGAGTGGGTACCATTACCCCTTAAATCCAGCCCGAGTCCTGGAACCTCGACTGTGTGGTGGGGCTGGCCCATTGTACTTACTTGTGTAATATTCTACCTCTTTCACTTTTCTGTAGTTCTGGGTGTAGAGCATACCTGTTCTGGATGTAGTGCAGTTTTCCCTGCTTGGGTACCACTTCTCATGGTACACCTTTGTTCTATGCAGATGCTTTCTGTATGAATTATGCCCTCACTGGCCCACAGCCTTCTAAATGTGGGATTCTAGCTATAAGTGTCAGTGGAGGTATGTATGTTTAGGAAGTTATCATTGTTCTTAAT